TCCTCAGTATGCTTAGTGGAACCACCCCTTCGGTATACAACTTTGCTTCTGCAAAATCTGCACAAGCAATGAAGGGCTGTGGGTTTGTATTTATCTCATCGGTCTCCCCATTGCTCAAATCTATCTTCACCTTTTGATGTAAAGAGGAGGACAAACATTTTGTTGGTGTGGATCCAATCACTACCAAGCAAAACATTATACTTGGCATTGTTGTCTATGACCAAAGAAACAGTCATACAATCCCTTGTTCCCACACTCAATTAATGGGTAATATGTCTTGGGCCATCTGTTTGTCTCCAACAAAACCAGCAATGGTTGTGCTTGTTGGGATCAACCTAGGATTCCTTTTGCCTAACTTTTTCAAAGATGAATGAGGAAGCAAATTTACTGCTGCCCCATTATTCACTAGTACCCTATTCATTTCTATTCCATCGAAGTATGACTTAATGTACAGAGGTTTACCATGCTGAGTCATTGATGATGTGGGGTATTCAAAGGGGTATGATAGGTTAACCATGCTTACCTCTTCACTTTCCTCATCAACCTCCATTAACCTGGTTATTTCAGACTCTTTGAACTATGCTGGCTTCTGAATCTTCGCTGGAAACTTCTATAGGGCCATCCTCTTACCCCTCCTGATTTCCTTCTTCTGCTTGAAATTCCTGAGGCAATACATATACCATATTAATTGGTATTGGAGAGAATGAGCCAAACTGCACCAGTGGTTGTGTTTGCTCCTCTTCTGTGTTGGCTTGACCAAATGCTTAGGGTGTATCTTCCATACTATATTTTAGAACTTCTGAGTTGGCAGTCTCCTTAACAGTAGTCCGTTGTTGATTTGCCTTGAACACAGACACTAACTGTTCAGCCATGAAGGCTTCGAACATATCTTCTTCGGCCAATACCTGTTCTTGGCTTGGTTCAGTTTCCTCATCTGTCTCATTATCCTCATCACTCTCCATCAAGGCCTTTTTGAGGCCTGCCAAACTTGACTTTTCTTTTGTTTTTAGTTCAATATGGACCTTGGTCAACTCTTTTCTTTTGGCCTTAATGTTACTCCAGGGACTAGGCTTCGAATTCTCTCATTCTCCCACTTAACCTCTTAATTGCATCAAAGAGGTGCCCTCACTAGCCCCTTTAAGATCCCTCTGATATTGAGTAACCTTCGTTGGATTTTTCTCCTCTGAGATCTAGAGTTCACAAGAACTATATCTGGTTCTTTTGTCTTTAGGTTTTTAAGTAAGTCCCAATTATTAGGGGCCACCAAAGGAGGTTTGATCATTCTGTCTCTACCTATGATGGCCTTCCCTTGGGTTGGTATCATTTTAGGTTTATTCTGCATGACAAACCAATCTGGTACTTTTGGTATCCATGAACCACTATGCTGGCCATCGGGCTTGCTGCTTTAGTCTTCGAAGGCCATTCATTGGCCTTGGTTTCCTGTTTTGGACCAAGCTCAGGCTTATTTACAGGCTTACTAGCTATTTTGTAGTAATTTGGTGGCCTGGTTTTGTATAAGGGTCTCTTGCCTTTTGATAGATTCCTGGCATCTAATGGCCCCTCCAAAAGTGGTTACTGATTAAGACCCCTTGGGTATGCCCTCTTATTGTGGACACTGATTAGCCTACGATCCCTCTGCACATCTTTGTAATACTAATTTCTATCAACTGAAAGCCCCTTCAGCCATTTGTAACTCGACCTGCACCTAGGGCACATCCGTTGCATAATAGCTGTTTTAAGTGAGTCATCATCTATAAGTTCTTCGCTGGGATCATTCTTTTGGCCTACGAAGCTCTACCTACTTGCTGGTGAAAACTGTTCATTCTTCTTAAAGGCATTTAGACTAGCCACATGCAGCTGCACGTTGACCTTATCCAATTCTTTCAAGGAAAGGCTTTTCTCAACCTTTTGGACAAAGAAGTCTGGTGTGCCAACATTGGCTATAGCTTTTTTGATTTCTGGAAAAGGATCAATGTCAATTCCCATTGCCTTTTTAACCTTGGCTGGGAATTTCAATCTTACTTTCTGAATCTGCTCTTGAATCCAGTCTCGAAAAACAATGCAGTTTTTAGTTGAATGAGACAAAAAATTATGCCATTTACAGTATATTTTGCCTTTTATTTCTTCTGAAGTTGGGATCTTGACTTCCTTAGGCAATTTTAAAAAATATGCCACTAACAAATGATAAAATATGTCATCTGCTTTTGATACATCAAAATAATATTTCCTATGAAGATCTTTCTTTTTAAATTGTTGATCGATAGTGGTATCCTTCTGAATTAATGCTTCACAGATCATAGGTTCTTGTCCTATAATCTCTGCTGCAGCAATTTCAAAATTATGGTCCCTATAATAGGTTCTACAAGATGCATTACTTCGATCTTGTTCTTCTTCAAGAAGAGTCTCATATCTAGCAACTTTATAAGTTAGTTATACTAGGTCTCGAAACTCTGTTGAGTCAAACTTTTTTCGAAGCCTAAACTCTAGCCCATTATGGGCCAATCTTACAATTCAGGTTCAGGTAATACGACCCTACATTTGTTTCCTGCCCTTTTGAATTTGGCAATGAATTGAGCAGCCTTCTCATTAAGCCTCTGGCTTAACCTTGCCAAGTCTACCATAGATACTTAGGCTCTGTTTGGAAAAATTGGGCATCAAATACCTATTCCATTTGTTGCCAAGTCTGGATAGAACCAGGTGTAAGGTTTGTGTACCATACAAAAGCTACTCTAGTTAGAGAGTTTGGAAAAAGTCTTAACTTCATGATCATTGTTGCTGAATTCACCACATTAGCTTGTAAACCTAGCAATGTGCTCAACAGTTGACTGGTTTCTATTTCCATAAAAGAGGGCAACGTTTGTTATCCTAAATCCCCTTGGGTATTCATGTAACCTATCTATCTATTCTAGGTAAGGCTTTTTATAAACATGAGTCTGGACTCCCCGGGCCATAGGTCCACAAATCTCTCTAATAATGTCAGCAATTTGGTCCCTAAGAACCATATTTTGTGCTGGTTAGGCCATTATTGGAGAAGCAAACATAGGGTTTAGAGGAACTCCATCTGCTTGAGGCCTTCTTGGTGCATGTAATGGCATATTTGGGACTGGCTATCCTTGCTGTGCTGGTTGATGTTGAGGGCATGACTGCCTTCTTAGGGCAGACATTTGCACTACAAAAGATGCTGCGAAGGGTTTCACTACAAAAGATGCTGCGAAGGGAACTACAGGAAGATGAACAAGTTATATTTCTCTTCCAATCGCAGCAATTCCTTCTAACTCCCCAGGTGTGAATTCGAACATAGGATTGGTGAATACTCGTGTGCCAGACATGGGTTCAAACATAGGATTTGAAAACACTCACATGCCATTCTCTTGTGCCAGCCTAGACCCATCAACATGTATGGTTTCGCCGATAGGCATTGGTGCATTTTGACTTGTTAGTAGTCTAGGAGGAGCTTCATACCATGATTGAGGCACAGGTGATGATCTTTGATGGTTTTGATTACTAGTTCGACCACTAATCTGTCCATTATTTTGCATAGGCTGTTTATCTTGAGCCAATCTATGCTGAAGAGGGTTCATGTTTTCTTTAACTTGCCATGTGACAGGTAGTTGATGAGAATTCATTCTATCCAAAAAGGATGTTGTCCATCTTTCTATTGTATACATTAATTGTTGTCCCAAAGCATTGACTAACCCTCTCCATAGATTCATTGGTTCGGTATAAGGGACAGTTGATGGTCTAGTTTCTTGGCTCCGTCTAATAGTCTAGACATATGTTGTGTGCTTGAAGTGCTGGTCTCTTCGAACATTTGTGGAGGATTTGCTGAGGTAGGCACATCCGTGGGATGTGATACTACATTATCCCCTGGGTTTTGTATGTCTAAATCTCCTTCTACACCTTTTTCAAGGCACTTATTTTCTTTTTGTCTCATACGTCTAGCTAGTATAAAGGTCCTATTAGGTGTGCCAAAATATATATTGGCTTTTTTGGCTTTTGTAGGTTAGAATTGTAATTCGAGCGTGCCAATAAGGATCAATAAGTCTTTACAAAGATTAATAAATGCTAACTAATTAGTCAAATGATCGCTTCGAAGTTCTTTCAACGTCAATGAAGAGGACTTTACTGGTGGCTTAGTTTTTAGGAGAAAATTAAGAAGACTAGATAAAATAAAAGAAAGAGGGATCAACAGTTGTAGAAATCACTCTTGCATTAAGTAAACAGAAGTTTACAATTATACTTTCACACTTTCACAACTTCGAAAGGAATTTCAGTAACAGAATAACTCAGAATTACTTCTAGGAATTTGAAGTGCAGTATGGGAATGTAAAGACTGGAATTTAAAGGACTGAAAAATATAAAGTAAATAAACTGGTTTCTAGATCTCGTTCTGCGTCTTACATTATCAGCATTCTCCTCTATTTATAGGCTCTGAAGATAACAGTCGAAGTGGCTGATAACCGTCGAAGTAAGTGATAACTGTCGAATTGATCTCCATGATCACTAAGTGTTGTTCTGAACGGTTAGCTTCTACTATTCCACTCTCGTGGTTGGACTTCCCTCATAAATTTGAATTTAAACTGTAAGCAACCGTTTTGGCCATGTTACTTTTGGACATCTTGACTATTTCCATGTCTCGCGAATCCATTGCTATTGCTACAAATTAACACGCAAGTCTGATGATGATTGGAGACTTTTACTGATTTTCCAATTTACCCTTTATAATTCACGTGTTAAGTTGCTATAATTCTGTACAAAATATATAACCAACAAAAATACAAAAATACAAATTGTAATTTACCCATTTAATTAAGGGAAAATGTTTGGTAGCTCAAATTTTTGTGGCTCAAATGACTCAAATCTGTCAAAACGACGTCGTTTTACACTCAAAATCTGTCAAAACGACGTCGTTTTGACAGATTTGAGCCACAAAAATTTGAGTTACCTAGCATTGTCGTTAATTAAGTGTGCAATTGTGTGAAAATAGAATTTCCTTTTAATTAATTTGGGTGGTTTTGCTGACAACCAAGCGAGGTGTTTCGAAAGCCAAATGACACTCTCTTTCGTCGGAAGTAGATCGCTTTTCCCTTCGCCTTGGGCGCGAATCATCTCCAACAAGATGCCCAGACACAAACTTCTCTCCAAAGCCCTTTCCTCAAAACGAGAAACCACATCTTCAGAGCCCAACCCAGGTCAGAAAAATCACATATAAATTTTGTTTTTCTGTTTCCATCACTGCTGTTTTGACTCCGATTATAACCGTCCTTCACATTCCCCCCCCTCTCTCTCTGCCCCCAGGTTCTGAATGTTCCAGTGGCGTTTCTGTGCCAGAGCTTCACGTTTTTGTTAGGAAAAAGAGAGTTAAAAAGGCAGTGGAAGTATCGGAAAATAAGCTTAAAGCAGAACCTCTTGACCAGGATGTGAGGACAATGTGTTTTCGTTTATTTTGTTTAATTTCCAGTATCAATGTTTATTTATTATTTTTGATTCGCTAGTTGTTGGATTTTAGGTTTATTTATTAATTTAATTTTTTGGGAAAATTGCAAAAAAATGAAAGGAACAAACAAATATTGCAATTTAGTGCGGGTGTCCTCCAAAATTGTAATACAAATGAAAGTTTGTTTTGTTTTGTTTTGGTTTTTTTTTTGGGTTGCAAAACTATGGTATCATTAGCTACAAAACCAAAGTACCCTTCCTCCTTTCTTCCACTCCCTCCCCGCTATCCCCAGCCTCTCCACGCCACTCTCCGTCACCGCAGTGCCCCCTCTCCTACGCGTCTGCTTCCCTTTCACTCCGCCACCACTGCCACCCCTCGACCCTAACCAATCGCTGGTGACCGCTATCCTCCCCTCCCCTCCACTGCCCTACCCAGATCTCAAAAACCCCTGAAATCAAAACCCCAAAGAGAGAGAGAGAGAGAGAGTGGAGGCGACCTGGAGGCGGTCGTTGGTGGTGTGAATGTGGTGGTGGTGATCGTGGTTGGAGGTGGCACTTGTTGGGATTCCACGGGGGCATAGGGTGCATCAAAGGTGGCAGAGGGGTGGGGGTTGCGATGGTTGAAGGATGTTGGATATGATGGTGGCGGTGAAGAGAGAAAGTGGTGCTGGTTGGGTTTGCCATCGGTGGCGGAATATGGGGGGTTTTGGGGTTACAATGATGGCAATGGAGAGAAGAGGAGAGGTGAGACAGAGGGAGGTGGGTGTGGAGGTGAGCTGACAGGGGCCGATGAGGTTGGTTGAATGGGTGGAATTTGGATCCTCTTGAGTGATTTTTTGTAGAGTGATTTTTTAAATGATTGAGATTTAATTGTACAAAAGTTAAAGGTACAATAGTACAAAAGTTGAGGGTACAATAGTACTGATAATCAATTTAAAAAAAATCTCAGCCATTTAAAAAATCACTCCATGAAAAATCATTCTAGAGGATCCAGACTCGAATGGGTGTTGATGATTAGGGTTTTCAAAGATGGGGACGAGAAGAAAGGAAAAGGAGAGAGAAAGGAAGGAGGAAAAAAAGGTGGAAGGATGAATTAGTAATTTGACAAAGATTCCCACCTAGCAAGGGTTGCAAATAAACTGAGGCTCGTCTCGGTTTGGCTCGTTAAATGAGCCGAGTTCAAGGTCAAATATTAGGCTCGTTTGGTAAACGAGTCGAGCTTGAGCTCGAATAAGCTCAGCTCGTATATCTTTATTTAAATTATATAATAAATATATTATTTATATATTAAATAATATTAATAATATTTTTATTTAAATAATATTAAAAAAAATCTTATCGAGCCGAGCTGAGCTTGAACCTAGTTACTTATCGAGCTGAGCTCGAGCTCAATAAACGAGTTCGATAAGCAAACGAGCTAAGCTGGAGCTCAGCAAAGCTCAGCTTAGCCCGGCTCAGCTTGTTTGCAGCCCTACACCTAACTACAATTATTTTTTAACTTTCCATTTCTTCTTTTATTTCTATTTTTTATTTCATCAAATTATAATTGTTTTGACTTCTTACCATTTATATGCAATTTCCCCCCTTTTTTTCTTCCTTATTAGTACTATGATACAATTAGGTTGTGTGTTGGATTTAATTAGAGATTTGTAAAAGAAAAAGAAAATGAAAGGGAAATGTGATAAATTTTTTGTTTATATTTCATTTACTTTTACTTTTCATATGCAAATCTCTCCTCAAATCCTTATATTGGAACACAACCTTAATGAGTAAATTTATTTTCTATCTTATACTTCAATTATAATGACTGGCATTTTTTTAATGATAAATTGCATTTTCACCTCTCGAAAGTATGGATCTCTTTTAGTATGATCCTTAAAACAAAATATTGTACCGCTCTATCTTTAAATTATTTGACTTTTTCCACTTTGGTCCAATTACCAGCTACCTTAGAGTTAAAGGGCAAATTTGGTATTAACTTTTTTTTTAAAAAAAAAGTTGTCTCACATGTGCCTAAACCCATGATTTAGACCCATAATCAGTAACAACAGCAATACATTGTCCATTAATTACTGAGAGCCCATTTAGACTCATGACCCACATATGCCTAAGAACTTTGGGGCTTACGCAGAATACATTGTCCATTAATTACCGAGAGTTCATTTAGAGCAAGTGCATAAGTTATATGAAAACAAAACAAGCATACGTCTAATTTATTTATCTTTGACATATACAAGTCCAACATCCAAAAGAAAAATATTCTTTTTTTTTTATGGACAATATTGTTAGAGTAACATGCTACTGTCAAACAGAGTAACATGTGTACTGTTTATATCAATTTTGATGGTAATATATATATATATATTTTTTTTTTAAAATTTCATAATCAACATTGATTTTATTTGATAGATCTTGATGAGAGAATTTTAAAAATACTAATTTCATTAAAAACCGACATCTAGATCAAAAGTTATATTATTTTAAAGTTTAATATTTTGATAATAGTGGTATGTGTTGGATTTTTCAAGAAATTTTTTTTGTAATTGTCCTTAATGCATTAAAACTTTATTATGAGGGGTCTTTGACCAAATCCCCCTTAAAATTTTCAACACTTTCAGAAACAAAAGAAGTTTTTTCTTTTGTTTTCAAAACGAGTTTTCACTCACTTCTCCCTCTCCTTGCCGCACCACCTCGGGCCATCACCCACCATCGGCTACTACCTTCTTTGTTGATCTCTGGCGACCAGCTCTAGTGCCCATATCCAGCCACCCTCCACTGCAGGCCACCACGTCTTGCAACTCATCAAGCAGGTTTTCTTGATTAGTGTTTTCAAATATTTGTGTGCACCAAACAAGTTTTGTGGTTCAGATTTTTGCAAGAAAAAAAGATTCTTTCTTGTTTATGTAAACAGCAAACAGGAAACTGATTACGCTACCAAACGCTACCTTAGCCTTTCATATATTTTTTTGAGATTCAACAAATGCTGCCATGCTGGTGGCTTGAGCTGTTTCTAGTTACAAGATTTTGAACTTCATTCAACTTCTATGAATTTCAAAACTTAAATTCAATGAACTATAGAGAGAGTGAGTTGGCAGAGATCAGGATTTTTTTTGCAGCTTAATCAGTTTTCTCAATGCAGCTTTGTGGCATGCCTGACATTGAAGACTTTGCATATGGAAAGACCAACAGATTTTCTCAGTTAAGTAAGTCCTTTTTATTTTTTATTTTTATAACTACACTATCTTAATTAGATTGATGTTGAAATTTTACTGCCCAAAGTGATGTTTTTATAAATGGCATGTGTCCCAAAGAAGATGCTGACAGTGGTAAAAAGGATAATGCAGTTGACCCCAACTAGTTAGTTCTAACAAACATTTGTGTCTGATTAGTTCACTGTTCTAATATGTTATTTCTCATATACAACAGCACAGTGTTTGTTGAGGATATAAATTATAAAGTTTCTGGTCTCCAAACCGCTTAAGCTTTCAGATAAGTTGGTAGTTCACAATTCAACATGGTATTCAGTGCAAGCAATAGATCATACATTCAAACCTCTCCGCCTGACCAATAATTATAATACTTAGCCTGCTTATGAAGGAAAGATTGACCACATGTATGGGGGCATGTTCAGGATGTTAATAATAAAGTTACTGCTCTCTCTTTTATCTTAAGCTCTTAGATGAGTTGGTAGTTAACAATTTCATAGAGTTGATGTGCTTATTTGAACCACCTGCTTGATGATCCAAAATGGAAGAGTTATTGGGTGCTTTTGTGTCTTTGAGAAGGTTGAAACATGATGCCTTGTATTGTCATTTTGTGAGTTTGTGGAAAAGGGACTGATGATAATATGAAATTCACAGTTCTTTTTATTTTCTAACAGATTGAATTTGTTTTTTAGAATGCTTAAAAGTATAAATAGTTTCCTGAAAGTTGATTGTGCCCACAATTATTTTTTTTTTCAATTTTTTTTTTTGTAAAACCTTTTTAAGAAAAGCACCATGAAACATTTCCCCTGGATCAGTTTTCAGTTTCTCCATTTTGGGAAAGTGGATGGTTCTGTAGACTGTCAAGTAAGCAATCAGTAAATTTTTTTTTTTCCCCAGAAGTCTATAAGGATTTTTTTTTTTATTTTGGATGATTTTATATGCTAAAATTATTAGGTTCCTTGGTCAGAGGGATGAGTACGTAGAAGGAAAGGAAGGGAAGGAAAGTGAGGAAAAGGAGAGAGTTTTCACCAGTTATTGGGAAGGAATTGGGAAGGGAAAGGAATTGGGGAGGGCACACTATTTTCTCCACTCCCTAGAAGCTGGTTAAGAAAGGAATCTTTCCCAATCAAGAAGAATGGGCAGCGCTTTTAAAGGAATTCAACTAGAGGTTTTTGAACAGTATCGTAAAGAATGTTTGAAGGGGAAAGGGAGGCTGCAGACCCTGCCCCCCTACGAAATGGAGCCCATTGAAGAGGATAAGTGAATACTATACGTCAAACAATAGAGAGCAGTGATCCAAAATCATGCATCAATAATGAGAGAGTATGAGAAAAGAGGTGGTTATATCGACCTCTTCAACTGTAGGCAGAACAAATTTGTTTTCACGATATCATCTTCTTCTCTCTCTCTCTCTCTCTCTCTTTCTTTTTTTTTTCTTTTTTTTTATTAATAAAATTTTTAAATTTCCATATCAAGTGATGCTTTTGGACCGGTATTGTCCGTGCGTTAAAGCATTGATATCTCTCTCTACCTGTTTCTATCTCTATAGAAAGTGTGGATGTGTGTCTCTCTCTTACTCCCTCTATCTATGCGTGCACACATTGACTATATTTTTTTTGTATATTTTCGTTTCAATTATGTAACTGGGCTCTTTCTTCCTCTACTCTTGATCTGAATTCTATTCATTTTCCTCTTGCAAATTTGCTCAGTAGTATAAGAACGTCAATAACCGCGGCAGATGTGCCTTCAATGGAAAGCAAAGTTGTGCCTGAAATTAGGTCAAAAGGTATGTGAAGCAGCAATGGTGTTTTCAAATTATTATATTGCATTAGGAACAGTATGATAGATGACATAGGCAAGCTCATCCATGTTCTTTATATTGGCACACGTTAGGTTTTAGAAATTGATGACTTAATTCCATCAGATGGGATCATTTTCTTACTTTTTGAAACAATCAAGATGTCTTCAGTGAAGTAAAAATAGCTAGCTTTAGGGGTTGAGTTCTGCCCGAGAACGTGTAACATGGTATCAGAGTTGGAGTACCAAGGATGGGTAGGGTGCATATCCTTGGCCTGCATCCAGCACATGAGGGGGGTGTAAAGAGATGCAATGCCCCAATTTCTAAGGAATCTGAATTCATTTGAGAAAATAGTTTCCATGGATTTAAAAGCAAATATCTATAAATAACTTTGCAAAACAACAATAAACAGCAATATACAACTGAAACATGGAAATAGAGAACAGGATTAACAATAGAGAACCTCTGTTAATATATCCATTCAATACCATGGGTTACCCGTGTCACATGCATCCTATATTCAAATTCACTATATGACATGAATATTGAGCATGCGAAACATTACATCCAAATATAAAATATCTAAATTCCAAAAGAAATACCCTAAGGGCTTACATATACTAAGGGCTTTCCCTATCAATAACAAAAGGGGATTCATCTCAATACATAACAAGCCCTACTATTTACAAATATACAAAAATAAATGAGCTTCCTGCTCCGAAGATCCTCATCATCTTGGCAAAGGCAATCCATCAATACTTGCAAAATGGTTTTCCACGAAGGGATGAGCACTAGGCCCAGTAAAAATGATCTTAACTAGATAAATGAGCATTTGAATATGCATATGATCATGAATGCAATGCCCTTTCCATTTCATGGCAAAATAATTTCTCGAAATATGAGATTTTTCCAAAACAACTTTCCAATTTCCTCAACTTCCATAAAATAAGAACATTTATTCAATTCGAACACGCGGTAAATCCCTAAGTATCTACCAGTAGTCTATCAAAGAATTACTAAAACCACCCTCACTTTACAGGTTACTAGCCGGAAGGAAATTGGTACCTACTCTGTGCAAGTTTCCGGTCTGTCACCAAGGACGTTAAGCCAACTTAATTCAATATTTCAAATCGTTTCATACACTATTTGGATTTACCTACCATTATTCAACACATTCCAATAATCTCTAATCATTTCGTAAACATGACAAAAATCATAATTTGCCCAATGCACAATGCTCGATGATAAAATGAGATGCTCAATGCATAATTTTCCAAATGGTTTAAATTCTTTAAGTCATCAGCCAATTTCTACAACAACAATGCAATCTTCGACAGATTGCCACGAACTATTATCTTTAATTGTATCTCAATATATCATAATCTCATTGATACTTTCAATTCATCAAAGGTGGTACCAATTTAATATTTCATCAACTTCCAAATTTCTAGGGTTTTAGAAAATTTAGGGCTTTTGCCTTTTTGAAATAGATTTAACAAATTCATGCACAATACTTGTTTATTGAAAGGGAATTTTTGAAAGAGTAAGATTATACATAAAAATCCTAATTTTTAATACAAAAATTATACAAAAATCTCTACGTTTTCACAATTTCGTAACTAATCAAAATACCACAAATACTACTCAAATCAAATTTATAGAGGTAATCGAATCCTTACTTCAAAGTGGATGAGAAGAGCGGAGAAGCTCTAAAATCTCGAAATGTTCCAAATGAAAATCGGGCTTGGTGAAGTCGAACTCGATGTGCTCTACAACTTTAATAAACAAGTTTTGCAAAAAACTCCCTATAGATAGATGATATCAAGGCTTGAATGTGTGGTTTGGGAGACGAAACATGTAGAGAAAGAGAAGAAAATATAGAGAGAATGAGGGAAAAAAGTGAGGAGAGAGGAAGCGCTCAGATTTTGAATAAAATAGCCCAAAATTCGAGGCTAGGACGTGCACTGCCGCACGTGCAGAACTGCCTACCGCAAGTGTACCAGTCCTAGGCCGCACATGCGGTTTCCCACAGGGACGAACCAAGAAGCCTTCCCTTCACCACACGTGCAGGATTGCACGTGCGGGGCTCTACCCAGAAATCCCATTTTTCCTGCACCATTCCGCATGTGTGGGACCTCCCCGCCGCACGTGCTGCCACACTCAGTGAAGCCTGACTTCTCTCAAGGTGTTTCTACACTCTAATTCTCTGTCCTTACGCTCGAAACTCTAAAATTTAGCCCAGCAAACGTCAAGGAAAACTTAACACAGTTCCAATCACAACCACCAAAACACGACTCGTCACATGAAGGGTTCAAAATTGTCTTTAACTCCAAACACATGGGTTCAAGTCGGGTCAAAGACACGGACACTACAAGAGAAGTCCCACATCATCTGGATACTAAAGTGATGTGAAGTATAAAAGCGTGAGGGTACTATCACCTCAATAGCTAGCTTTTGAGATTAAGTTCTACCCAAGGCCATGTAACATCTTACAGTCACAAATTGTAAGATGAGCCAAAGCTGACCCTTTCACATTAATTTACCATCCATTATCTGATTGTTGGTTGGTTGAAGACAAGAATATTGGCATTCAGTTTTTTTGACTGACTGTTAAGCCTTGAGTGGAATGCGGCATATGTTTCAGTATATTCTAGTAATCGGAAAAAATAGATAAATGTGAGATTTCCCTTGTGAAAGACGCATTTTTTATAGAAAACTAATTTGCATCAATTCAGTGTCAAATAGTTTGGTAGGGAAGCCAAAAATATTATAATTTAACATGAAAAATGCATTTAAAGAACAGTTTAATGCAACATTTAAACAGATTCTACTGAAACAAGGAGTGGTAATTCCCCCTCCCAAGTTGTGTAGTGAAGATACTAGGGAAATGATTACATGATTCAGAACCTTGTATTGGTGACTGGCCTTGAGGGCACATGGATAGGTCCATACCGGTGTCTGGGTGCCTGATTCTGGTATTGAATGATATCTATTAGAACTTAGAAGTATAGAAGAACTTCAGGGATACACCCATAATATATATATATATATATATATTGAATACATCATTTAAGACGTGCATTGCCTCAAAGTTTGAGAAAAACTTAGGGAATGATTAGACAATCATCCCTTTTTATTGATAATAGGTAACTTACAATGGAAGCCTTGGAGGCACAAATAAAGAAATAACAGAATAAGAAAATAACAGCTAATAGAATAAACAATACATAATAACCAAAGATGTTCTTCTAACAAGATATTATTCTGACACTCCCCCTCAAGCTGGTGTGAAGATGTCTCTCATGCCCAGCTTGCCAAGCACATCATGAAATGGTTTGCTTTCAATTCCCTCGGTGAGAATGTCTGCAAGTTGTTCAACTAACTTCACAAAAGGAGTACATATAATGCCACTAGTGAGTTTCTTCTTAATAAAGTGGCGATCAATCTCCACATATTTCATTTGGTCATGCTAAACTGGGTTGTGAGCTATGTTAATAGCAATCTTAATATCACAGTAAAGTCGCATGGAATCAGTATGACTAATCTCTAGATCATTTAGCAGCAACTTGATCCATAAGAGTTCACATACACTTTGTGCCATGGCTCTAAACTCGGCCTTTGCACTAGACCAGGTGATTACATTCTGTTTCTTGCTCCTCCAAGTAACCAAATTACCTCCAACAAAGATACAATAACCAGATGTGGACTTTCTATCAGTTACTGATCCTGCCTAATCTGCATCTGTATAAGCTTCCACCCGAAGATGATCATGTTTGGAAAAAACAGAGACCCTTTCCTAGAGAAGATTTCAAGTACCTAAGGATGCGCGTTATTGTAGCCAAGCGTGTCTCATGAGAAGCATGCATGAATTGGCTAACTACACTAATTGCCATGGCAATGTTAGGACGAGAATGAGATAAGTAAATGAACTTACCCACTAGTCTCTGATAACTGCCCTTGTCAACAGTAGCTCCCCCACTATCATCACTAAGCTTCTGGTTTGGCTCCAGTGGTGTATCACAAGTTTTACTCCCAAGCATTCCAGTTTCTTTCAATAGGTCAAGAACATATTTCCTCTAACAGATGAAAATTCCATCCTTGGACCGAGCAACCTCAATACCTAGGAAATATTTCAGATTTCTCAAGTGTTTTATTTCAAACTCGCTTGCCAAATATTTCTTTAATTGGGGTATTTCCTCACTATCATCTCCTATAAGCACTATGTCATCCACATAAACAATCAGTTGTAGTCTTACCATGTGAGGAATGCTTCACAAACAAAGTGTGATCAGCCTGACTCTATTTGAAGCCATATTGGAGCATAGCCTGAGTGAATCTCTCAAACCAAGTCTTTGGAGACTATTTGAGACCATATAATGACTTCCGAAGTTTGCTTACTTTACCCTTTGTCTGATGGTACTCAAAGCCATGAGGGATGTCCATACACACTTCTTCTTCTAGATCACCATTTAAGAAAGCATTTTTTACATCAAACTGGTAAAGTAGCCAATCTAGATTAGCTGCAAGAAAGAGAAGTACTCTGACTGAATTTATCATAGTCACTGGTGCAAAGGTCTCTTCATAGTCTACTCCATAAGTCTAAGTAAAGCCCTTTGCCACTAGTCGAGCCTTGTAATGCTTAATTGAACCATCCGCTTTATGTTTTACAGTATACATCCATTTGCATCCCACAAGTCTTTGGCCCTTAGGTAACTCAGTTAATTCCCAAATGCCACTCTTACGAAGTGCTTTAATTTCTTCTATCATGGCATGTTTCCACTCAGGGGTAGCAAGAACATCTTGAAAATGATTAGGTATGCTAATAGAAGAAACTTTGGACACAAAGGCTTTATAAGAAGGAGACAAATTAGAGTAGAACACAAAATTAGAAATGAGATGTTTAGTACAAGACCTCACACCCTTTCGTTGGGCAATAGGAATATCAAGATCAGTATATTCAGGAGGAATAAGGGTTTCAGAGTTACCTGGACTCTTATAAGAAGAAGAAAATAGTAGTAGATGATTAGAAGTGGTCTCTTGTATTCAAGTAAATTTTTGTTTGTCTTTGTCTTTGACATAGACTTTTCCCTCCTTCAATTCATTAGATTCTATATTTTTGCCACTAATAGGTAGTTCACCTTCTGTGTTCTCAATCACAAGGCTCCCCCTGAAGGGAGAACTGGGACCTTGAGGAGGATTGTGACAAGAAATAAGACTATAACTCAAAGAATGTTATATCCATAGAGACAAACCACTTACGAGATAGATGATGGTAACACTTATAACCCTTTTGAGTGGGAGAATAACCCAGAAAGACACACTTTAGAGAGCGGGGATCAAATTTACCATGAGAAGCATGATTGTGGACAAAATAGACACACCCAAAGACTTTGGGGGGAATAGAGAACACAGACTTAGAACTTGAGAAAACCTGGAGAGGAGATTTTTTTTTGCAATACTTGGGTTGGGAAACGGTTGATGACGTAGGCAATAGTGAGAATTGCGTGCCCCCAGTAAGACCGAGGCACATGCATAGAAAAAGACATGAAATGAGCTATATCAAGAAGACGATTCTTACGTTCCGCAACCCCATTTTGTTGCGGAGTGTTAGTGCAAGAAGTCTGATGAATAATGCCATGGGTGGAAAAATAACTTGCTAGACCAGAATCAATATACTCATCCCCCATTATGAGAACGCAATATTTTGACAATCACCCTAAATTGAGTACATATCATTTTATGGAAATTATGAAACACAGAAAAGACTTCACTTTTGTCTTTCACAAGATACACCAAGTAGTACGAGAAAAATCATCGATAAAAGTAAAAAATCATCGATGACTTTTTAAAGACACAGCCCGAGATGGATCCCAAACATCAGAGTGAATTAAGGAAAAAAGTACTAAACTTTTATTAAAATTGAGAACAAAAGAAGCTCTGTGTTGTTTTCCAAGTTGATGAGGCTCACAATGAAACTCAGAGACATTATTGTTTGTAAAAATAGAAAGAAATAAATGCTTAAGTAATAGAAATGATGGGTGCCTAAGACGCTGATGCCATAGCCTTAGGTCTTCCTTGGTGGTAGGAAACTTGATGGAATGAAGTGCCACCTTTTCCCCTAATCCAGGATATAGAGACCATGTTCTACTCTACCACTGCCAATCGTCTTCCTCATGATAAGGTCCTGAAACAGACAATGATCAAGATAGAAAGTCACCCTACAATTCAGGTCATGATAAAAGATTAACAAAGAAATTGGAAACATGCAAAACAGAGGATAATGGTAGAGGAGTGGCATGGATTAAGCCTTTCCCAGAAACAAAAGAAACAGTATCATTAGCGATCCTAACTTTGTCCTGACCTAAAGAAGGCTTATATTTCGAGAACAAATCAGAAGACCTGAACATATGATCCGAGGCACTGGAATTAATAATCTAAGGTAAATATTTATGAGATAGAAAAGCACTTGGAGAAGCGGCTAAGTTATCTGAGTAGGCAAAAGACGAGGGATGTACCGGATGGAGTAGTAGAAGAGCAACGATCCAATAAGTGGCACAAAGCATCCTCTAACTCAGAAGAAGACAATTCAGATATATCACCAATAGGAGGAGCAACTGAAGAGGCGTCGAGAGTATCCACTGCACTGGTATGATGTGCACGTGGATTAAACCCGTGTCCTTGAGACCTTCCAGAGCGACCCCTACGACTACTAGAATGGTCATCACAACCACCAGAAGGAAGCCCACAAAGCTTCCAACAAGTCTCACAGGTATGTCTCGGTCAGCAGCAATAATCACAGAATAGTGTATCCTTCTCTGAAGGACTAGGGGAAGCATGAGGCAGACTAGTACTATCCCTAGGAGGAGCAGAAAGTAAGGCTGAGTGCTCTGTAGAGGTAGGTGGCAGCATAGTAGAACGACGGCTCTCTTCGTTCTATACATAAGCAAAGGCCTCCTGAAGGGAGAGAAGAACATCCATACCAAAGACACGACTCCAAACAGGATCAAACTTTAAGTTGAGATTTTCCAAAAATTTGAAGACCCGTTCCTGTTAAATAAACTTCCGGTATTGAATCAATTTGTGCAAACAGGCTTATAATCTTGTAGATGATCAAGACGTTTCCAGCCATTGTTAAGAAAAGTGAAGTATTGAAGGACAGTCATCTCCCCCTGTATTGAGCGCTCAATAGAACGACGCAACTCAAAAGTTTGTGAGAAATTCTCCTTCTGGGAATAGATAGTAGCCACATCCCAAATATCTTGGGTGGTATCCATAGACAATTAGCCTTCTCTGTACCATGGAATGAATGAGCCATCCCATAATTAAAGAATTAGTAATCTCCCATTGGTCATAACCATGATCAGTGATTCCTGGTGCCTTAACCCTCCCGTCAAGATAACCCTTCTTCCCTCTACTCTTTAAGAAAAGTGTCAGAAATTGTGACCAAGCAAGATAGTTCTGACCATTAAACAAAGAGGTGGTGACTGTTAGGCTAGGGTTTAGGTTTTCAGATGTAGTAGTCATAATGGGACTCTCCCCTCTAGGTTGCTGAGAAGTAGTGGTGGATTCACTAGTAAGGTTAGCCATTTATACGCTACAAACCGAATAACAACCTACACTAATCACAAATACTGGATGAGGGAATAAAATCAACTGCACCAAGCAATATCAATTACAGACCATGATAGGAGCATACCAATCAGTCAAAGCTGGGTAATGGGGCTATATAATGACCTAAAAAATAAATAAACTAAATGGAAAAGGAATCTCCAATCAAAACAAGGGCTAAGCTATTCTCAAATAAGGCAAAACCTTGCTAGATTTGAGGAACAGTGGTGAGATGAACCAATCAAAACATGCAGTGGGTCAAAGAAGGCTCAGAGTGGCTGTCGGCTGAAGCCGAAATAGGCTGGGAGCTTTCGGCTGGGGCTGAAACAGGCCAAGGAGCTTTCGGCTGGAGCCGAACAAGAAACAGGGACTGTCAGCTGGTCCTGGGTGCTCACCAGTGACTATCGCAGGCCCTGGACAGAGCAGAGAGGGTCAAAAACACAGTGGGCAGCAGTTAGGTGGTGATGGGTGAAGGTGGAGAATGAGACGGTAACCCTAAGGCTCTGATACCATGTTTGTTTGAGAGAGAAAAACTTATGGAATGATTAGACAATCATCCCTTTTTATATTGATAATAGGTAACTTACAATGGAAGCCTTGGAGGCACAAATACGGAAATAACAGAATAAGGAAATAACAGCTAATACAATAATCAATACACAATAACCAAAGATATTATTCTAGCAAGATATTATTCTAACAAGTTAAGCATACCTTCTGCAATATTCTTCAATAATATTACGTAGCAGTTTAATAATAGAGATCTGATACAATCCAAGCATACATATGTGTTACTGAGAGATGGAAACTAATCATTGTGCTCTTCAAATTTGAAATTATATGATTTATTGAAAAAAAAAATATGAAAAAACATGATGAGAAACCAAAATATTTGAAATATTTATTTATTTTTAAATGCTATGAAAATTACAAGAGTTTTTTTGACTGTGAAAGCGTTTTTTCAATAAGTTAAATCAACAGTTGCACTATTTATGTTTATTGAAACCTAAAGACACTTAAAAAAAAAAAAGACACTTCAAAAAAAAAAAAAAAAAATCACCTTAACTCTTTGAGAAATGCAACCCATAGCGCCAAAGCTAGAATTCTTCAAAACAATGAGTTGATGCCTTCAAATTTATTATTATGATACCAAATATTGATAGAAGAGGCTACAAATGGCATTCAGTCATCCCTAGCTGTATTTAGAGAAGCAAAAGATGAGAAAAATGGTCAAAGTTTGTTGAGAATCTTGAGATGATTTCTGTCAACAGCTTTGGTTTGCAAGATTTGTCGTGATCTGAGACATATCATGATCTGGCACCTGTATACTCAAGCTCTAGATTTATCAACTAGCATGTATCTGTTGTTTTACCCTTTCTGTTATGGCATTGTATCCATGCTTTTCAGCTCTTGTTCCGCTAGATGTATTCTATTGGGATCGACTGTGCAGTAAAAGTGTCTGATTTGGATCTCATATTTTGAAATCTTTCCTTGTGTGACATACTTATATTGAGATGATATGCCTTTTTCTACTTCTTAGCATGTGGAGGAGCATAGGAATAAACAATATTAGGTGAACTGCTAGAAGCTATGCTGATTAATTATAGTTATTATGACTTACCTTCCAGACAAAATTTAATTTGGATGGTCATAATCATCTAAATGGGGTGATTTTCTGTGGGGACTTCTACAATTGCTATGATTGTTTGATGGGTTTAAGCTGTCCCCCTGAACCTCATTGCTGCTGTGGTCTGGCGAATGAATTTGTCTTTAGTCCGGTTTTGACAGTATTGTTTCCTGTGGAAGTGGAGGCATGTTTCTTCTTTAGTATTTTCACGGCTGGCTAGTTTCTTATATGAGACTCAGAAAAAGTCCTGAACATCTCATTTGATACAGCTGAACCACCTGCCAATTGGGAAAAGGTCCTTGAAGGGATTCACAAAATGAGATCTTCTAAAGATGCACCAGTAGACACTATGGGATGTGAGAAAGCTGGCAGTTCTCTTCCTCCCAAGGTAATATCCTCCTCAGTCTGATGATCTGTAGATTTAGATAACTTGAGCAGATATATGAGTTCATTGAGTTTTCATTCATATTACCATTATTTCTGGAATAGATAAGAAATGAGCTTTAACAAGAACAAATTGGTTCTGTATTATTTTTTTCCCCCTTAAGTTCAGTAAACTATCAGTTTCGATGTGCTACAGCACAACAAGGAGTTCTTTGAAGCATGGCCGAGGCCATGACCACAGACATGGATGCGGACACAATGTCAAGACCCCATCCTGCCTCAAACAGGATAGTCTAGTGATCGGCCAGTAGTCATTTACTACCAAAGGCCTAACCTACAAAACAAGTTGGGACTCTTATGATAATTGGGGCAAAATTTTCATTTTCAATTGCGGAAGCCATTAATTTATTTAATTGAGTCCATTTGAAACATCCATTTAGAGCAGTGCATAAGTATATGAAATGAAAACATACATTCCTCTTGGATTGTTATCTTGCATTATTACAAGGTCCAAACAACAAAAAGTAAGACACATCACTTAGGACAAAACCTTATAAAACCAACAAAATATACAAGATTGACTTCTAAGCAAACTTCTCTTCATAATCGTGCTTTTCATCACCTACATATACATATATAAAGGAGAGGGGTGAGCCATAGCCCAATGAATAGTAAAGTAGTAAATGAATGAACATCAACGAGCTTTATAAAAACACAGTACAAGAATCATAGCTTGAGCATAGCTTAATAAGAGCATGATATTTTAAGACTTGGCTTTCAAACATGATACATAGAGATCAACATTCCAAGGACCTTGAAAGTGTATAACCAGCCCAGGTATCGGTTAGACGATCCACCCGAAGGTGGCAAGGAGCTCGGCCATCATGGTGTTATTGGCATGAGTCCCCCAATAACTAGGACATCTTCTAAGGATATCATCTTCATACATCATACAAGAGTATAAGATATTCATTCATGATAAAACATTAATATAGCTTTCATAAACATAGCATAGGTTTTGCATTTGAATCATATCAAACATAACTTACTATGCTACTACTCACAAATGGTCTTGAACAAAGGGTTACTTCCTCCAAAGTGCTTGACCTACACAAGTACAATACAAGCATTCAATGAAATATGGTCTAAAGCGATGCAACATTACTCTTTTCGGTTCTAATTCTAATGTTCTATCTCATGTTTATATTATTTCTCTTAACTACACACTTTTAGGTCCATTTTCAAGTCTTATTCAAGTTTATTTTATGTACCAATTAAGCGAAATGAGGCCCGGCAAGCCAAAAAGATGAAAAAGGAGAAAACTAAGCAAATGCTCTACTGACCGCACGTGCGGATTCAAGCAGTCCTTCCGACTGGTTTTTTCTTCCAATTTCAAATGGGCATATCTCTCCCATTTGGACTCTAAATTCAAGCTCCAGAAGTATAGTTTCTAACGGTAGTGATCTTACATCCAAATTCTAAATATACAAAGAAAGGAGATATGACTAGATTAGTGAAAGCTGCTCACTTTATCTTACCCATTTCAAGTAAAATTCTTCTCTAACTTAGCCTTTTCGTATCTTCTTCTTCTTTTATTTTTTTTATTTTTTTAAAAGAAAAATAATTACGAAAGCATCAAGAAGATGCAAAAGAATACAAGAAAACCAACCCCAAAAACAGGGGACCTAATCAACTCAACTAAATTATCTACAAAATCCAAGAAAGCAAATAAATTGGGTTCAACATTTCTGGACACCCAACTATACAAAACACCAAAAAATGGAGACTCTAAATGAGGCACCGAATGAGCACACCCTTGGAAAGTCCAACGATTTTGCCCCAACCAAATCAACCATGTCAGACACAAAGGAGCTAATGCCCAAGCTCTCTATCGCCTCTTTCCAACCTAACCACCCCCCCCAACAACAAAGTACCTCCATGACCTGTTTCGGCTGAACTCATACCACTCCAAACAAAGAAAAAAGAAGCACCCACAAACGAGAAGCAACCGGGCAATGAATGAGCAAATGGTCCACTGTCTCCACATCCGCACAACATATGCAACACCAATTAACCAAAATATGATTATGACGGATCAAATTGTCAATAGTCAAAATCCTACCAAAAGCCGCCATCCACACAAAGAAAGCCACCTTCGATGGAATGCTAGAAACCCAAACTCGCCGGCAGGAGAAATCTCTCCCCCTCCCTCTCCCTCTCCCTCTCCCTCTCCCCCCAACCACACAAAAACCAATAAAAGGACAAAACAGAGAACACTCATTTAGCGCCTAGACCCCCCCAAACCGAACATCCTTCCCCACCTGCCCAACATGAACCCCATACAAAAAAGACAACAAATCCACCAACTGCCCAACCTCCTAATCCTAAGGTTGACCGTGCAACACAATATCCCAAACCACCCCCACACCAAGTAAGGAACCACTGCCAATCGAAAAATCAATGGAAACGCACCTCCAAAGCAACCTCCCCACACCAACGATCCTTCTAAAAATGCACTCGAGCTCCCTTTCCCACCCGAAACTAAATTTGATCCCAAAATCCTTCCCTCCCTAGCCAAATGCCCTTCCACAGCCCACATCCATGAGAACCCCCCACCTCCATGGTGCACTACTTCCCATTTCCCAACCCATATTTAGAAGCCACCACTCAACGCCACAACTGATCCCTTTCCGATGAAAACTTTCACAACCACTTACCCAACAAAGCCAAATTAAACTTCCCCAACTTCTGCACCTCTAACCCCTCATCCCTTTTGGAGCGACAAATCCGATCCCAACTAATGAGATGACAGCGAAACTCTCCACCATCACTGCCCTATAAAAAATCCCGCTGCAACTTCTCCAAACAGCGTGCCACTAACACAGGAATAACATGCACATATATAAAATAAGTTGGAATACTACCTGACGCACTCTTCACCAAAGTTAGCCGCCTACCCTTAGACAAATATTACGTCTTCCACCTTACCTACCGCCGCTGAAACCTCTCGATCACCCTATCCCACACCCCTTTAGCCTTATAAGGAGCCCCTAAAGGCAACCCCAAATAGGACATTAGCAAAGTAGACACCTTGCAACCCGAAATAGTCACCAAAGTTGATAGTTGATGCAGTGTTTTTTAAGGCGAAAAGCGAACCGAGGCGAGAAGGTCTCCTTACGCCTAAGCGCGAGGCGACGAGGCGAGACGAGGGCTTCATCGAATCGAGGTGACCAGAAAGGATATTTTTTTAAAATAAATGGTATGGACAAAAATATAAATATTTTCAAGAACCATCATGCAGTTATCATTCCAAATACTAAATATTCATAAACAAAAGAAAATATCCAACAAAGACATACAATCCACCAATCCAAAAGTTCTAAAAATCATCTTCAACATCAAGCAAATAAACTTCTTCTTCATTATCATTGGCTTCAGCATATCCCTCTGCATCTTCTTCCTCTCCCCCATCTGAAATTGACTCTTCCTCATCAATAAGTTGCAATCTAGGTCTATCTGCTAATTTTGAAGTTGAACAACCCCTTTCTATTGCCCTTGTTGATCTAGTTCTTTGACTACTTTCCTCAACTCCAGCAGCTCTAGCAACATCATCCCATGTCAAAGTATCATCCTCAAAGACAAGTTCCTCATCCATCCTCCCAACCAACCACTCGTTACTTTCATCAATATCCGTCAAAGCAATGGGATCAATAGTGTCACGGGAATTGTATCGATGTCTCAATGCTCTATTATACTTAACAAATACCAAATCATTCAGACGTTTTTGAGCTAACCTATTTCTCTTTTTGGTGTGAATCTGCAAAAATTCAAACCAAATAAAATATTCAAATTTTTATCTAGGTATTAATAAATTTATAGGTATTCATATTCACTATAGTTAAAAATAGGTACTCACATGTTCAAACACACTCCAATTCCGCTCACATCCAGATGAGCTACAAGTTAGACTAAGAATTTTGATGGCGAATGTTTGCAAATTTGGCGTTTCAGAACCATATGCACTCCACCAATCAGCTGTTGATTATAACTAATTAATTTGAAAGAATATTTAAAATATAAAAAACTAACTAAAATTACTTGAGTATAAAATATAGATCACCTGGTGCCCTTGTAGTTCTTTGTCTAATGGCCAAAGCCATCCCAAAGAGACCATCGGCTTCTTATAGGTAGTCAACTCTGCGCAAACTTTATCTTGTGTCTCATTGCTTGGGACCAACCTTTGTATGCATTTATACAGGCCTGACATGACTTCCTTATCTTTCTCAATATTCGAATTTGCGTAAAAATACTCAGGGTTTAAATAATACCCAGCTGCATGCAATGGCCTATGCAATTGAACATTCCATCTATTGTCAATTATTTCAAAAAACTCCTTGTACTTCTCTTCATTTTCATTAAATGATTTTGCAATGGCTTCTTTAGCCCTATCCATTGCCTCATAAATATATCCCATGGGAGGCTTTCTCTCACCATCAACCAATCGCAATACACGAACAAGAGGACTTGATATTTTGAGAGCATAAAGAACATTGTTTCAAAAAGAAGGCATTAATATGACTTGTGCGGTCTTTTTACCCTGTGGTTCCTTCGCCCATTTGCTTGTGGTCCATTCCTCTGAAGTGAACATCTTCTTCAAGTTGGTTTGTTGTTGATGAATCCTTGATAAAGTTAGAAAAGCAGTTGCAAATCGAGTTTTTGCTGGCTTGATCAAATCCTTGCACTGGGTAAATTGCCTCATCATATTCAACAAACCAGAGCAGTTCACAATATAACCATGCACCGCAATTGCCTTTTCAAATGTCTTGTTGAAGTTGGGAATTTTGAAAATGTCCTCCAACATCAAGTCCAAGCAATGAGCGTGTCCAATACAAATGTGGCCGCTTTGCTTCCAAAAACTTCCCTATTACAAGTTTTTTTTTTTTTTTATTTTTAAAAAAAGAATAATATGAGAATTGCATATTCATATTGTAAGTAAGTACTAAGTAAATGTATACTACTAAGTTACTAACCGGCCAACACATTTGCTGAGGCACTATCTGTAACAACTTGAACCACGTTGGCTTCACCAATACGCTCCACAAAGTTGTCAAGCAATTCAAACATCTTATTTGCATCCTTGGATAAGCTAGAAGCATCAACGGATTCAATAAACATTGATCCTCTTGGGCAATTAACCAAAAAATTAATTAATGTCCCGTTTCTTTTGTCCTTCCACCCATCGGCCATTGAAGAGCATCCATATGTTACCCAATCTTTTTTATGATCCTCCATGGTCTTATTAGTGTGGTCTACCTCTTTCTGCAAATAAGGAACCCGCACCTCATGGTAGCTTGGTGGTTTCATGCCAGGACCATATTGCCCAAAAGCTTAAATCATTGGCCCAAAACTATTGTAGTTCACAACATTGAAAGGTATACCCGTATCATACATCCACCTCGAAAACCAAACAAGAGCCCGATCTCTCAACACCTTCTTGCTAGGGATCATTATCATCAATTCTTGTTTGCTTTTCCTTGGCTTTACGATTTTGCACCGTAACTTCCGGATCAGGGGTGAAGTACACATCCATGGGTCCCTTTTGCTTTGGTTGTTTGGAACCAACATATTTGGAGGAGTTACTTCCTTGTTCTCGACGGGTAGAACCTTGAGTAGAAACAGGCCTTTTACCATGTTGATTTATCTCAAGAATTTCATCATCGTCATCGTCATCATTATCCATCTCATCAAAATCAGGAACCATCCTCAATTGCACTTTTGATTGACTTTTTTGAGACATATAGTCTTTAATCTCATCTTTGACATGAGATGGGCATTTTTTACAAGCAACAATATTTTTGTAACCACTGGCAAGATGTTGCTTGACTCGGTAAACACCGCCATTCATTTCTTTGTCGCAAAAGTTACAAATAAACTTTGAAAGGTTTTGGGGATTTACCATCCGTGCATATTGCCATGCCGGATCTTTTTTACTTTCACTCGACTTCGACATTAATTCTATCCAATAAGCAATTCAATGTTTCAGCATAAAGAAATTAAAGCACATATTTTAACAACATTAAAGAACATAAAGAAATTAAAATAGTTGAAATTAATTGAATTAATTGAATTAAAATAATTAATTGAATAACCAGGAAATTAAAATAACCAGGAAATTAATTGAATTAAAATAAACAAATTAATTGAATTAATTGAATTAAAATAATTAATCGAATAACCAGGAAATTAATTTTATTGAATTAAATTAATTGAATTAAAATAAACAAATTAATTGAATTAAAATAATTAATTGAATAATCAGGAAATTAATTGAAATTTTAACATAGAAGAAAAAAAATAATTGAATTAATTGAAAAAAAATTAATTTTAAAATAATTGAATTAATTTTAAAAATTAATTTTTGCGAATTAAAAATTAATTTTAAAAAATAATTGAATTAATTTTAACACAGGCTTCGACATTGTTCTTCAAGTCGAAGAAAAAAATGAACAAAGAAGAACAGGTGAAGTCGAAGGGAAGAACAGGGGGGAAGAACAGGTGAAGTCGACAGTGAACAAAGGAGAAAGGAAGAAGAAGGAAGAAGAAGGAACTCACCTCGGAATGATGTCCGAAGAAGGAACTCACCTCGGAACGACGTCCGAAGAAGGAAGAAGACCCAGATGATTCGACTTCGGAAGAAGAAGACCTAGAAGACCCAAATGTCGACAAACGAAGTTGATATAGGGTTTGGACTTCTTATTTAGTAATTAACTTTGTCGATGAAGGGCCCAGATGATTCGAACGAAGTCGATGGAGGGCCCAGATGATTCGAACTTAAATCAGGCCAAAATCTGATGAAGTGTCGCTTCGTTTCGCCTCTCGCTTCATCGCCTAAGCCTCACTTCAGGCGCTTCTCCATCGCCTCACCATTTCGCCTCGCCTCGCCTCAGTGTGTGTGAAGCGCTAAAGCCTCGCCTCGCCTAGCGCTTAGGCTGGCCTCTGATAACATCGAGTTGATGTATATCACCCACCAGAATCAATTTTAACTTCATCAAATTCACCTTGAGACCCAAAATCGCTTCAAAATGCAACAAAACACACCTCAAGTGCCCTAGCTGCTCCGGATCAGTCCTACAGAAAATTAAGGCATCATCAGCATACAAAAGATGGGAGACAACAATTGAATCCTGCACCCCATTTCCCATCGAAAAGCCTTCCAACAAACCGACCTCCTCTACCCGAGACAACAACCGACTTGGTGCCTCCATCACCAGAATTAACAACGACGAAGACAAAGGATCCCCTTGTCACAAACCCCGAAACATCTGGAAGAAACCCGCCGGCGTCCCATTTACTAGCACCGATATCCGTACCGTCGAAATACAAAACCAAATCCACTACCTCCACCTCACCCCAAAGCCCATCCTTTCCATGTTAGACATCAAAAAGATCCCAACTGATATTATCATAAGTCTTCTCAATATCCAACTTACAAATCACACCTGGGTGTCACTTACGCAAATGATAATCAACGCACTCATTAGCCACTAGAACCGCATTCAAAATCTAACAGCCATCCACAAAAGCATTATGGGACTCCGACATTACGTCCCCCACCACCCCCCTAAGCCTATTAGCCAAAACTTTGGCCAAAAGCTTGTACACACTCCTCAGTAAACTATTGGCCTAAACTGCTGAATATCCTCAGCCCCTCCCACATTAAGAATCAAAGCAATGAAAGTCGCATTGAAGCTCTTCTCATACTGGCCCGTCTAATAAAGCTGATCCAACATCGCCATCACATCCCCTTTCACAACATCCTAACAATGTTGTAAAAATGCCATGATAAATCTATCTGGACCTGGAGTCGTATCACCACTCATCCCCTTCAGAGCACCCAACACCTCCTCAGAAAACAGCCGCTCTAACCCATCATTATCCGATTTCACACCAAAATACAAACTGTCCACCCCAGACCGCCACCCCTTCCCCTCCTTCCTGCACAAGTGGTCATAAAATCTAACAATCCCCATCCTAACCTCCTCCTCCGTCAACTCCGCCCTATTTACCCGAATCTTCCCAATTTGATTCATCCTCCAATGCACATTAGCCATTCAATGAAAGAACTTTGTATTACGATCCCCCTCTTTCAACCACAAACACTGAGACTTTTGCTTAAAACTAACCTCCATTTGAGTAATCCGAACAAAATCACCTCGCAAGCACTCCTTACGCACCATCTCCTCCTTAGACAAACCCACATCAGACTCTATAGAATCCAAAATCTGCAACTAAGCCAGCACCTTAGCCTTTTGTCCCTCTAATGACCGAAAACCTCCTTATTCCATTGCTTCAGCTCTGCCTTTAGCAACTTTAACTTCTAAGCCAAAACACAACTTGGAGAACTAGGCACCTCATAGCTTCCCCACCACCGACTTATCCTATCAGCAAAACCATCAGAATGGAGCCACATATTCTCAAATTGAAAGGGCGACAGACCCCTCTGAATGCCCCCACAATCCATGAAAATCGGCCACTGATCCGATATTAGCCGAGGAAGCCAATGTTGAACTGCATCGGAAAAATGCTCATCCCATTCCCCTGTCACCAAAAAGCGATCAATTCGGGAGGAAACCCAGCCCCGAGACCAAGTATACTCCCCCCTTGTAAAGGCAAATCCACCAAATGCAAAGCATCAATCAAATCTGAGAAATCCCTCATCACCCTTGAATTACAACCCCCTCCAGACTGCTCCCTCCGACCACCTCACCATATTGAAATCACCCCCCACACACCACGGAAACTCCTATCGAAACGCTACACATCCCACCTCCTCTAGAAACAACCGCCCCTCTACTCTTTGAATCGGTCTGTAGACCCATGTGAAAACCCATCGAAATCCATTCTCCACACACTTGAACAAACAAGACACTGAGAAAGTCCCTACCTCCTTCTCTTTTATCATCACCCTGTTATCCCAACAAACAAGAATTCCCCCGCCCTTCCCTCTTGCCGAGCCTAAAGCTTGAAGAAACATCCAATCAATACACCTGCCACCCCGAATCTCCTTCATAACATCCCTCCCCACACTCCATTGTAGTTTCTTGAATATAGACAACATCTGGTTTGACACTCCTTAATAGCGTCCCCATTGCCACGCGCTTCCCTTTATCATTCAACCCGCCCACATTCCAGATTTTCAATCTCATTTTAAAAACAGTTGTTTCTCCCTCCCCTGCCTAGCTATCTTCTCTTGCTTTCCTGAACGGTGGTCATAATTAATGGAACACTCCAACTTCCGCAATTCTTTTTCTCTCCTCTGTTGTTGCACCTCCCTGGAGGGGAGCACCATTACACCAAGACGCCTCTATCACTGAAAATAACTTCATAGCTTCTACCTTATGCCCCTCAAACGAAACACCTAACAAATGACTGACCTTATTTATTCTACCTAACACCCAGTCTGAAACCTCCTCAACTGATGGTTTCAAAACCCCAAAACCTGCCCCCTCAACTGGCATATCATCTCCTTCCCCCAACTCATCACCAATCATAGCAAGTGGCTGAAGGGACCTAGGAAAACTGACCTCCTCATCGCCAAACACATCCAACCCATCATTTGTGTCCTCTACCACATCCTCCCACCTTTTTGGCACCTCTGTTTGCGCAAACTAATTGGCATTGACACCACCATGATCTGTCATCAAAGGAACCATAGTCCAAGCCCATCTGTCCAAGAGTGGAGACTGCAACTGTTCCGACGCTGAAACAGCCCCATCAAAGATTGCCGATGCCAACTGACCTCGTGGAAGTTGCCCTATCTCCTCCAGACAAATATCATTGTTGACCTTCGTCAAGTCAGGCGCAGATTCCAACAGCCCATCGCGCCTCTCAACCCTGTCTCGAACATCCATCGCCTCCTCCTGAAACTATAAATCTTCCGACACACCCAGCTCCTTTGGTCGATGTCGATTTGCCCTGCGGTCACCATCGTCCTCCTTCGCACTTCAATCTTGCCCCAAATCTCCAATTAAGGACCTAAAAACCCATCGAACATATGGATTTGGGTCTAGGGCATGCCCCTTTCAAAACGGCCCGTCAAATTCCTTGAGGCCCGTACGTGGGCCAAAAAACCTTTTAGGCCTATGGCCCAAGTTCTGTTGAGGCAATTTAAAAGCCCAAACCCATGAAGACATTTCCTACCAACACCTCGCTGGCCCAAATTAACCTTAGTCAACCCATTAGCTCTCCCATTGACCAAATTCTAGCCCATTAATGCAGCCCCCAAGTAAGTCTTAGGCTGACCCATACCCATCCTCCTAAAACCAAGCCCAAAAGAGCGACCCAAACCCCTACCTAGGGGCCCAGCACCTCCACCCAATGGCCCAAAATAGGATCTCTGCAAATCTGCCCCACAATCATGCTCCGAATTTCGCGCGAAGATCACAACTGCAAATCTTATTCAGAAACTCCGGTCGTCTTCTCTCTGACGACCACCCCCTGACCTCGACAAGATACTTAGTTGAAAGATCCTACACAAAACTCTTTGATTTATTCAAGCAAATGGTTGAATTCCTTCAATTTCTTCTCTAGATTATTTTCATCTCTTTTCCATTTCTTTTCTTTTAATCTATCAAGAACCTATCCTAAATCATTTTCTTGTCTGTTAGTATGTATATCATGTGAAAGAGGTTAGAAATCCTTGCCTTGTGAATTTTACTCAATTTTTGGCCTAAGATCGAAGATCCTCTTTGGTTCTTCTTCTTCTTCTCTTCTTTCCTTCTGTCTCATCTCTCTCCTCTCAAAGACTTTCCAGCAGATTTTCTCTATCTCTTTATCTTTCAATTTCTTTTGTTGTTTTATTAGAGACACTTGTCTCCTTTAGAAAAATAATCATCCAAATTTGAGGTGTTAGCTTCACCTATTTGCTTCACCTATTTGCTTCATCAATTCCTTAATCTCCATCATTAGCTTAGTTAATCAAGTTTAGTTCTAATTAATCAAGGTTAGTCTCTAATCATCATTAACTTAATTAATCTTGATTAGGTCTAATTAATCCCGCTTAATTATTGTTAATCCCAATTAAGTTTTGGTACCTTGTATG